CCCTTGAATAAAAGGATTTCTTTGACAGTGCAAAAACATGGCTTTCGACGAAGTCACTCCTGGTTAACAAATATTTTCTATTCAGCGAAGCAATGGTTCTGCTCGTTGAACGAAGACGCAAGAGTCGATAGTGTTTTCCTCGACTTCAAGAAGGCCTTTGATAGTGTTCCACACCGTCGCTAATCCATTAAGTCAGACAGTTGGAGATAAAGGGGAACCTACTCAACTGGGTAGAGGACTTATTGACCGGCCGATCGCAGTCTGCGTACATTGGTAGCGCAAAATCAGTGCCAATGCCAGCTGTGAGTGAAGTGCCTCAGAGCTTTGCGCTCGGGTCGGTATGTCTTTTAGTTTATGTCAATGACTGTATGAATAGACTGGACTACAAAGATGTCATACTTGCTGATGATATCGAATTAGGGTGAGCGATCAGCTACGAGAACGATGAACTAACCCTGAAAGAAGGACTTAACCGCCAATGTGAATTGTCCGATAAATGGCTGCTGAAGTTTTACTTTGAGAAATGCGTCGCACTGCGACTCAAAACGAAGGAGAGAACAGGTGGAGAAAATCATCAACATCTCGTCGACTGAATGTGCCTTTCAAATGTAATCGAACAAAAAGACGTTTGGATCAGCATTTTTCGTCTCCTGAGCTCTCGTCTTAATGCGTTAGGCGGCCAAAAGAGCAGCCGGTGTTCTCTTCACCATCAAAGGAACTTTCGTAGGTATGGATAAGAAGCTATCTGCAAAAGCATACGGAGTTTCGTATGCCAGTTGCGGACGAACGTACATCTAGCTGAAAGGGCAAGCAAGTCAGCATGGATTTGCTCCAGGCAATGAAGGGTCGTAGATTTGTTGAGTACATGCATTTGAGATCATCAGCATAATTAAATGATTAACTGCCGACGAGATATCATTTTTGTAAAGAAGGAACAAGATAACGCCATCAATCACAAGAAAGTGTATCAAAACTCAATTCAATTCAATTATTTTATTAAAGACCCGTCGGGGTCCCATCAAAGCAAGTAAAAATAAATTTACATGCGAATTTTAGACGAGGTAGGCAAAATCTGTACAAAGTGCAATACATAGTTTTTGAGATTAGAAGTCCGTTAAGCAAAATGAAAATGAAAAAAACGAGGGGTGAAAAAACTGCAAGTCACTCTCACTTAAAATCGCGTATTGACGGTTGACGAGGCGGCATCTTGATAGCTTGTTAACATCTAGAACGGCGTTGAACCAGGTCATCGATGTCGCTGCCGATACCCGGCTAGTAGTCAAGACTGCAAGCAGCTGACCTCATTCGACTGGTATCAAAATGAGCCACATGAAAATGGTGTAATACAGCAGGTCGAAGTGAAGACGGAATTGCCACAGGGTCCGCAAACATAAGACGGAAATGAACCACAGATAGCGATGTCCAGCGCATGAAGATTTAGTGATGATCGCTAGTGAGATCAGTGGTTGGCCAACAGGTCTGCACGCATGTGATAGTTTCCCCGAGAACATGGCCTATTTAGTGACACTTAGGGTGTTGGATATCGGAAAACAGGTTTTGCCTGTGGCCTAAGACAGAGGGTGACTTTCATCTTCGTACAGCAAGCAAGACCGTCTTGAAATAGAGAGGCAAACTTGTCCTGTAAAGTGGACGTCAGCTCTTCAGCTTACTAATGCGACTTGGATGGACCATGCAAAATGACTGCAGTATACTGCAAACACAGTTCAGAGGCATTTCCATGAGGTGGAGTTTCTCGATCCAGTCAAGGCCAAGTAGGTTAAGGTTTAGAGGGTTGGAGAGATAACATGTTCCTTTGGATTAAATACCATCATAAGAGACTTCACACTCGAGTTCATCCAAGAGCGGGAGAATTTCTTCAAACGCATTGTGTGCCGCAATGGCATTGAAATATTGTTGGCGACAGCATGAACACTGGTGGCAACAACAGTGGAAATGGGTTGCACCACGACGACAGAATCATGCTCAAGATGTTTGAGCCGCTGACATTCGACAGCTCATGCCCGTAGGATGGAGTCGTGGACTTGTACAAGCTTACTGAGCAGGCGGCTTATGATTTCAGTATCGGGAGGTGCCCGAAGATCGCAGGCAGAAATGGAGCACTTAAACTGATCTTCCGTCATCGTTCGTAATTGTGAACTTTTCGCGCTCTCTTTCGACAATACTAGCGAGCGTCGGAGAGTCGTCTGTCTCATTTTTCAACAGTTCCAGATACCAGTATCGGATAGTGAACAGTAATTACTTTTCCCCGAATGTTTCCGGGGATAAGAAGCAATTCATCACACAGGCCTTGTAGTCGATTCAAGATATTTTGCCATTGTAGCACATCTGTTGACTATAGTGGTAATTTCCACGACTTATGATCACTAACAAGCATTACCTTCTTCTATTTTAGGCACTCCATATATTGTTCACACACAAACTAAGAACATAATGAGACCTAGAAAACCATCATTCGGAGCGCTACGGCGAACCACTGCCAACTCCGACATGGCGTTATTAATACAGGCATATAAAAGCCTGTGTGGCGGCCAACCCTCTGAGCAAACCCCCGATTGCATGTTAATGAGACAGGATCAGTCTTTTTTAAATATAAACCGATACACACAATGCAAGTCGTTTTACAAATATTCCTCACTAACTTCTTTCTTTATGTTTTCTTCATCAGTTTGCAAAGGATGAACAGGAGACTTACTAGTCTGGAGCTATCTGGTAAAATTCTCTCGTGACTCTCATATATGCGGTCTATGTTCGCTTGCTTTCGGTCTCTGGGTAGGTCCCTGACTCCAACAAAACCTCGAGGGTCTTGGTGATCGTGGAGATCACTTAGTCTGCAATTTCATTCAGAACGTTTGCAAGTATGCCATCCGGACCAGGCGATTTAGTGCGCTGTGACTACACCAAGGTTTTGCTTGCCGTGTCCGTTGAGAAGGCCACCGTGCTAACTGCATCTCGAAGTGGGGTAATTTGGAGGCCAAATCTGTCGCTAGTAACAGGTTTTTCGGAATATATTGACAATCAGGGCACGTATGCGGGACTCTATGCTCATTTTGCATCGGTTTTTTGAATCACGGTTTTCTCACGTACACATTGCGTGGACTGGCATTAGGCATATACGTGAGTGCTTTTTCAAACGCTTGCTTTCTGCTTCGTCCTCCGGTACACTACGCAAAGACCTTAAGACCATCCGGATGTTCGCATAACAAATTGAGCAAACTGGTTAATAAATTCTAACGACACAGTTGAGGGCACCAAACTGAACTTTCTGACACGTCATTGGTGAATAACGCCCTAATCATGCTACCAAGTTAACTCGACAAATTACCCATCTAGCCCCGCGATCAGGAACTATCTGTGCAAGATGATCGCATGCAAACGGAGAATACCATTATCGACTGGTATAGAAAATTATGTAAGCGTAATTCTATAATCAACAGACTGTTGTGCAAATAATAGTAATAGTTATTATTATTTTTATTAAAGACCCGGCGGGGTCCCATCAAAGCAAGTAAAAATAGATTCACATGCGAATTTTAGACGAGGTAGGCAAAATCTGTGCAAAGTGCAATACATAGTTTTTGAATTAGAAGTCCGTCAAGAAAAATGATAAGCGAGGGGTGAAAAAACTCCACATCAAAATTTAAAAATGATTGGATTAATTTTACAGGATAAAAAAACTCGAAAAACATAGCAACAGAAAAATGCGGGCAGGACTGGCCTGCATGTGGCGGTATAGAATGGATTATAATCGGACATCGTCAGGGCCGAAATAAATGTCAGCTGTATATGGCATTGTATAACGGATTTCATGAAGGGGTAAGAAGCGGGTCGGTCAGGACTGACCTGTATGTGGCCTTGAATAAGGCAAATAAATGGCGAAATTGAAAACCAGTCTCGAGGCGATGACAGTTCGACCGTCGATTTCGACGATGTCCACCGTGTGCCCCACAGCTGCAGCAGCGCTGGGAGCAGGGACGGTGACTAACGCAGGGGTTTATAGTGCCAGTAGACTTGCGTAGCATCTACCTACACTCTCTCCTCCTCCCCCGCCTGGGCCCGGTGTCGAGACAGAGTCAAGAAGACCGGAGAAGAGGGAGGCCGCAGGTTGATGGCTCGGACGGATCCTCACCTTGGCGTTCCACCACACCCCCTGGTCCACACAACAATAACCAGGATTTGAACCAACACAACATAGATTTGGAGGCTGGCACGGCCGAAGCCGCACCTGGGCGTGCCGCCAACGCCTGGCTCGGATCCCACACTGTGGTGGGAATGCCATAAAGGCCACATTAAAAAGGAGCCATTGCAGCCTGACTCTCAGACCGCCTCCAGTAATGGAGGAGGTCCAAGGTACCCCGTCAGTTGGCAACCTTCCAAGCCACGGCTTTTAGCGCACCGTGATAGCTTCAAGCGCGTCAGATTGTTTATAGTGAGGAAAATGCGCTGAGTCGTCGACCTCACTCTCCCTACCCATTCCCACACCCCAGCCACTGTCCGAGCCGGTCAGTAGACTGGAGTGGGGAATGGGCGCGGTGGCTGACATGGTCGACTGACCATGACTGCGTGCGCCACGGCACGACCTGGCCCCCCATACACACAAACACCAGGATTTCACACAACGGGGGTTCAACGGCGTGTCTCTCACATGCGTGAGAGGGCCGTGGAAGGTGCTGCTTCAGCCCGTCCCCAGCCCACCAGTCCGCCACTACACAACACACACACACAACGTGACGAACTGCGTGAACCGAGAACGGGCGTCAATCAGCAACCTTCCTATCCACGACACTTGACGTGTCGGGATAGTCTCGGACTCAAGTCACTCGTGCAGCCGAGGCCGCATGGGGACCGAGTCGAGATGCACACTTCCCAATTGCGTGGGAGGCGGCAGTTGAGTGCATGAGGTGTGTGAGGGTTGACGTCTAATGGGGTGATGATGTTAGGAGGTAGGGAGTGAGGGAATGTGTGGTGTGACCGGCGGTTGTCTACCGCAGGTCGTTGTGGATGCGCATGTGGCCGAATAGACCCATGCGATGCGTGAAGATGCGAGGGCAGTGTGGGCAGTGGAGGCGAGTGCGGTGGGTGTAGGTTGGTGCTCCAGGCACTGGTTCACCAGTCTCTGTGCGATGGATTCGCAAGTGACCGACCAGGCCGATGCGAGAGGTGAAGGTGCGGTGGCAGTGAGGGCAGGTGGGGGTGGTTGCGGTTGCTGTGTCGTGGTTGGCGATGTGTGAGACGGCAGCCTGAACGGCCACCGCTAATGCAGTGGAGGAGAAGGAGGAGGATGGAAGTGGTGGTGCAGAAGAAGTGACAGAGTTAGTTGGCGGAAGAGAGGACGAGGAAGAGGCGGGCGCGGGGACGATGGCTGGAGCAGTTCGAGAGGTGCAGTTGGTTCGAAGATGTCCAACAAGTCCGATTCGTGCCCGGAATGTCCGTTGACATCGAGGACACGTAGGGAGAGGTTGTGCGGCGGCGTTGCTTATTGGGCGAAGTTGTGATTTGCGGACTTCGCGTTTCACTTTGGCGACGGCGATGCGGTTGGGTTCGTAGATAGCAGCGCCCGTCTTCACTGTTCTCCTCCATGTCGGACGATCGCGGGCGAGCTCTTCCCAGTTGGTCGGGTTGATGTGCAGGCGCTTCAGGGAGGACTTCAGAGTATCTTTGTAACGGCGAATTTGGCCTCCTTGACGACGAGAACCCGTCGCGACGTCTCCGTAGAAGAGTCGTTTGGGTAGTCGCTCGTCGTCCATGCGCACCAGATGGCCGCTCCAGCGCAGCTGCATTTGTCTCAACATGGAGTAGATGCTCAGAATTCCCGTCCGTTCCAGCACTTCGGTGTCGGGGATGCGGTCCTGCCAGTTCAGCCTCAGGATGCGACGAAGACAGCTGAGGTGGAAGTGGTTTAGTCGACGTGCCTGCCTCGTGTACACCGTCCAGGTCTCCGCTCCGTACAGTAGCGTCGGCAGGATGACGGCTTTGTACATCTTCAGCTTTGTGCTCAGTTGGAGACCATGACGATTCCAAACTGTGCTTTGGAGGCGACCGAAGGCTTGACTGGCTTTCGAGATCCTGTTGGCGACTTCGTCGTCGATCTTGGTGTTGCGGGAGAGCGTGCTGCCCAGGTACGGGAAGTTCTCTACCACTTGCAGTTGAGTCCCATTCACGTTGATTTGCGGCGCGTTGGGGGCTGTGGCTCAGCTGGGAGGCGGCTGATGCATCACCACTGTCTACTGCGTGTTGATAACCAGCCCAAAGTTCTCGCAGGCGGCGGAGAATAGGTCCATGCTCCGTTGCATCTCCACTTCTGAGGTGGTGTTTAGGGCGCAGTCGTCGGCGAAGAGGAGTTCGTGCACGGTGGCTGTGGATACACGCGATTGGAAGTTCATGCGCCGGTGATTCAGGAGATGACCGTCCGTTCTATAGGCGATGCGGATTCCAGGGCGTTCGTCGCGGTAGGCGTCCATCAGCATGGCAGAGAACATGAGACTGAAGAGGGTAGGCGCCAGCACACAGCCCTGCTTCACTCCGTTGGTCACTGCGAATGCCTCTGAGACAGCTCCGTTGTCCGTGACTCGCGCCATCATACCGTCGTGCAGCTGACGCACCATCTGAGTGAATCGCTCCGGACAGCCGAATTTCTGCATGATCTTCCACAGTCCTTCACGAGTCACCGTGTCGAAGGCTTTCGTCAGGTCCACGAAGGTAGAGTACAGGTGGGTCCGCATCTCCTGGCACTTCTGCTGAAGTTGGCGGGCTGCGAAGATCATATCCGTGGTCCCACGATGACGACGGAAGCCGCATTGGCTTTCCGGCAGAAGGCCCTGTTCCAGATGGTTATTGAGGCGGTTGAGCAGGATGCGAGCGAAGATCTTCCCGGCGATGTTCAGCAGGGAGATGCCGCGGTGATTGTCGCAGACTTGGCGATTCCCTTTTCGCTTGTAAAGGTGCACGATAGTTGCGTCCTTGAAATCTTGCGGGACTTCACCTTGACGCCACATCTCCTGGAAGAGCGCAGTCAGCTGATCCATCAGTTGGGGACCTCCGTGCTTGTAGACCTCAGCAGGGATTGCGTCCGATCCGGGTGCTTTCCCGCTGGAGAGCTGCTGCACGGCCCTGATGGTCTCCTGGAGAAATGGCGGGAGGTCGAGGCCCGCGTTGGTCGCCACTTGCGGCAAGCGGGCGATGGCGGCGTCGGAGATGACGGAAGGGCGGTTGAGGACGCCTCGGAAGTGCTCGGCCCATCGCTGCAGGATTTGCGTCTTCTCAGTCAGGAGAGTGCTGCCGTCGGCGCTGAGGAGAGGAGCAGTGCCCTTCGTCGGCGGACCGTAGACAGCTTTGATCGCGGAGAAGAAGTTCTTCCATTCGTTGCGGTCCGCGTAGCCTTGGATCTCCTCAGCTTTGCGAGCAGTCCAGGCGTCCTGCATCTCGCGCAGTCGTTGCTGGAGCTGGCGGCGACTGCGGTAGAAGGCAGCTTTGTTGCCCTCAGTTGGGTGCTCTACGTAGGCTTTGTGTAGGCGGTTCTTCTCGGCAAGCAGATTTCTGATGACAGCGTCGTTGTCGTCGAACCAGTCCTGGTGTTGGCGGGGAGCGCGACCGAGGACGGCGAGCGCCGTCGACTGGACTGTGTCCCGCAGTTGACACCAGCTGTTCTCCACGGAGGCGTTCTCAGCATCGGCGGCGGCGGCGTCGTCGGCGGCGGCAGCGATAGGAAGGTTGTCTAGCCGTTGAGCTAGCTCATTGCTGAAATGAAGATGGTGAGCAGGCAAAGACAACAAAACAACATTCAGCTTACCTGGGGGTCGCTTACCTTGTGGTCTCCTGCGAGGCTGTAGGCGAATACGCATCTTCGAGATGACGAGGCGATGGTCGGTCCACCCGTCAGCACCCGCGATCGCCTTCGTCACTAGCACGTCCCGCTGATCTCGCCTCCGGACGAGGACATAGTCCAGCAGGTGCCACTGACGCGACCGAGGATGCCTCCAGGTGGCCTTCTCTCGCTCCGGCAGGCAGAAGAAGGTATTCGTCAGGGTGAGGCGGTGTTCTGCGCAGGTGCGGAGGAGAAGCAGGCCGTTGTCGTTGGAGTCGCGGAGACCGTGGGGACCCAGCACTCCCCTCCAGGCAGTATGGTCTGTGCCGACGCGGGCGTTAAAGTCACCAAGGACAATCAACTTGTCCGCCTTCGACACAGTCGCCAAGAGGGCGTGCAGGTCCTCGTAGAATTTGTCTCTGACGGCGTCGGGGTTGGTCATCGTCGGAGCGTAGGCGCTGATGATGGTGGCGAA